TTTTTTCTCTTAGCAAAAAATAAGCATTGACAAAGAAGGTGAAACACGGATTTTCTCTCCTCTTCAGAGCCACAACCAAGACAGATGTCATTAAAGGTTATACCCAGCTTCATAGCATGTTTTGTTGTTTTAATAACCCGTAAAGAGGTACCTAGCAGGTAACATGAAAAGAACGTGTACAGGGTATAGGATATGGTTAGACAAAGGAAGGGTGAAAGGAGTGGGAAGTGCTCGGGCCCCCAGATTGGGATTTGATTGAAGCTAACCTGGGTCAAGGCGAAAAATTTTAATTGAAGGAACTTGCTACTACGTTTCTAATCTAGTTTGGATTATGTCGACTTTGTATCTGCCTGTTTTTTTTTTAGGTTGTATAAAATATTTTTGTTTAATTATTTATATCAATATCCGAGAAATAAATGCTTAGATTGTAGAAGTTGTGCCTTGGCAAGCTCATCTATGCTGCAATTGCCCAAAACGTTCTTGTGTACATATAATAATGTTAGTTGTACACTACCACGCCTAAGTAGCTCGTTAAGAGAACGAAATATTTGGAATATAGTGCAGCATGATAGAGGCTTGGTTGTCAGAGAAGACTATGATATTTATATCATGGATTTTGTTGCATGGGACTCATTTTGCTGCACAGTTTATGGACATTATTTCTGTCTAAAAGGCACTGCTATGTTTCGCGGTATCGCTTTTAATATTTTTATATGATATTTTTACGTTTTCCGAAAAGTACAAACGGACACAGTATCTAATAGAGTCCAGATGTAAATCCCCATAAACATGGTATATACAGTATTATGTTAAGAACTTAATGTTGGAATAGTTTTAAAAAAACTTCTGATATAAATAAATATATAAACATTGCAAATATAACCGCAAAATTGAATCTGCGAATGGAATCAAAGATCTACAAAACCTCTGACCGTTCAAGTGTTGCGGGGTCCGGCCGTTTTTAGAACCTCTATAAAACGGTGAAAGATGATGAATCATACATCTGCTCTATGTTTTATATTATTTATATTTATTACTTCATCAAAAAATATATATAATTAAAAAATACAATTATGTACTTATAATGGAAATTTTTTATTTTTTTTTCTCTTACAGACTACATTATATGATATTTATATACATATATATATATATATATACAAAAATTTCCAATTAAAATTATCATAAACAAATAAATACGTTCTAACAACCTCTTAAAAGCCAAAGCAAACTCATTTTAATATCTGCAAATAATTTTTCTATTAAAACAATATTATTTTTTTCTAATGTTGTTGTGTATAATATATAACAAATAAATAAATATTAGTCATTTGAAACTTCGTCCAAAAGAAATTTTACTTCCATTTCTAAAATATATGGCATCTACTGATTGAACACACCTAACGACAAGTAAACGGAATTCAAAATATTTGAATTACACTAACAAAAACCAACGTAAACAAATGAATGAGTGCAATGTTAGGTTTTGGCGGAACTTTAATTAATTTCCCGCTTTTTCGTTATTCATTTCTGAAAAAGTTATTAAGAGAATCGTGCTTCTGTGTCTGCCTGTTAGTTGTTTTAAAATAAATTTAAAGTGTTAAACGTTTTAGGTTTTAAGTTATAATTTATTTAATTAAGTAAAGGTAACTGTGAGGAGTTCAAGTTAAATTAAATTATCAAAATGTTAAAAGATGTGCAATGTTAAACCTTTTTTTATATTTTCATAAATATATATTATACATTTTAATTTATATTATCGTTTTTGTAACATAATTTTTTAATAAAATGTTTTAATTCTTGGACTACTTATACTTTTATATTAATGTAATTTACTGTATTGAAGGACAATACATGTGCACCATGGCGAATACATACAGTTTAAACAATTTACCCAAATATGCTGCCGGATCACAACCATTTACCGTGTTGATCGAAGGAAACATTGGCAGCGGTAAGACGACTTTTCTCAAGTATTTTGAGAAGTATGAGAAGGAAATTTGCCTTATGACGGAACCTGTTGAAAAGTGGCGTAACGTAAAAGGGGTCAACTTATTTGTGAGTTTTACTGGTGTTAATATACGAAATTTTTGTTATTTTCTATGTTTTTATAGGAATTAATGTATAAAGAACCTTATCGTTGGGCTATGCCCTTCCAGTCATATGTAACACTGACTATGCTTAAGAATCACACTGAACAGACCAGTAAGCGTATTAAGCTAATGGAGCGTTCAATATATAGTGCTAGGTATGTATGAAAGAAATTCGATGGATCAAATTTTGTTACATGAAAATGTAATAAAAATTATTAGTTGTGTGACTATACGGAAAGAAAAGTGAATTAATTAAAATTAATATATAAATAAGCAGAATACATACTATAAAAATACAGCAACACACAATTTACTAAGTACATCATTATACTTAGTTTCCGTTTTATGTAAATTAATGGATTTAAACGATTTAAATCAACGTATCAATTTCAAAACAATCAATGTCCAAGTCTAAAAGCAAATGTTAACGAGTTTTTAAGTAATCTCAAATGAATACAATTAATAAACAGTAAACTCTGATTTGTTTACAGAATATGTCTGGCTGGTATGTATGTCTGGTATGATGTATGGTCATCATTGTCATTAAATTAGAGCATTCAAATATTTTTAGAATTACTATGCATTGCATGAGGTTTTGACTATTAATATATATTATTCTTGAATTCCTGAAAAATTAAACATTTTCTCTAATTTATTTTATTTTTAGATATTGCTTTGTTGAGAATATGTACAAAAATAAAACCATTGACGAGGGCATGTATCATGTATTACAAGAATGGTACGAATACTTAGATAAATCTGTGCATATACAAGCCGATTTAATAGGTAATATAATTACTTTTTTGACTATGAGTCACTTTTATTTAATATCTACTTTACATATATTTTCAGTGTATTTAAGAACATCGCCTGAAATTGTTTATGAACGCATGAAAAAACGTGCGCGTTCGGAGGAAAGCTGTGTGCCACTCCAGTATTTACAGGAACTGCACGAGCTGCACGAAAACTGGCTTATACACAAATATCCATTCACAAATTCAAAGGTTTGTTGGATTTTTATAAAAACATATTTTTATACAACCTTAATTATCGGTTTTCATTATATACAGATACTTATCTTGGATGCGAACTTGGATTTGGAACATATTGGTACAGAGTATAAACGTTCAGAATATAGTATTATAAATGAGTCTCTTCGGGAACAGCCGCAAGCGGTTTTGGTTTCACCAAGTAAAAGGTGTAGGCTTTCTAGCTAAAAATTCCATATTTTATTTGTTTATATATCTAATAATTTACATCACTTATACATAATCTTACCGTTTCCAATCAATGATTGTTAGTTTAATTTACTTTTCTTACTATATTAGTTAAATTATGTTAATATGTCCCATATTTAAACTAAAATTATTTTATTATTGTTAATATTTATATCTCGCAATATAACAACCACAAGGATTATTTTATATAACAAATTTATTCAACTTATTTGTTTATATGCATTTAAACGAAACAAGTAAAGTTTTGTTTATTAACCAAATATTGAAGACAAATGTATCAATGAAGTGCAAAATGACTTAACATTTAAATATATTTTTAATAAATTAATTTTACACCAAGGGAAACCTAATTTTTTGTTATTGTATTCTTGCAGAGTAATTTTTATAGTTCCTATGTTAGAGTAAGTGGCAAAATTTGCTCTCTGTAGTTATTTTGACCGGCGTAAATAAAGCGGCATTGCTTCAATTGTAAAGACACAGTGGATACGTCAAGCGAATTCGCTTTAATTTTGACAGCAATATGCGGATCAAACAATACAAAGTGTCAATAATACTTAGTTTGATCCATACCATGAGTATTTTTATTTTTTGAGGATTAATTTTGGTGCATTAAGCTACAATGAATACTGCTACACTTCATGAATTTCGCACTTTGAAAATTCGTATACATGTACTCTGCTTGATCCTGTATGCGTAGAAAAACAAAAAAATAATTGTGAAAAGTTATTTAAAATATATTTTGATATTCACAAGTAATCCAAAATTACATACAGACTCTTACTTGCGCTATTCATTATTCCTTTCTGACATTAAGAATTAAAAGCTCGTGTAAATGTAAAAAGAAAATATCAAAAAGTGACGATAAAAATATTGTCAATAAAGGTTTCATTACCTTTTCAAGGTCTTCAAAGTAAGAGTAAAATTGCAATCCTCTGAATGCAGTAAACTATGCAAAAACTATTAAACAAATTAGTTTTCATCCTTATTTTTACTCAAGTGTGGTATTGGCGTAAGAGCATAAAGCATGATATAGACGATGCTACCAAGTATGCCGTGTTACCAAATCGCACTGTGTATATTCAAGTATTTATACCAAATTTCGGTCTGAAAACATGTATGCGGTAAAATTACACCTTGTTTCGAAGTGTATAGCAAAGCGCATACTTGGTATGCATACATGTAGCATCGTCCATATTATGTTTTACGAAAGAAATATTGATTAAAGTAAAACATAAACAAAATTTGGTTTTTGTATTTTGCACACGTATAAATTGTTTATGATTTTTTTTATTAATATTAAATTTTGCGACTTGTATTAGTTTACATTGAGAGCAGCACATTAGATATATTTCGAATTTTAACTATATAAACGTCATCCTTATGTATTTGATTTAGTTTAAGGTAAATTAATGATGAGGTGTATAAGTAAATCGCTGTGATATTCTTTATTACAACAGGAAATTAAATATTCGTTCACTTGCATACATAACTTTTTAAGATATTAATATTAGTTTAAATATTTTAGTATTAATTTGCATATTAATATATATCAATGCAACGAGTTGCTACAATTATTTTTTCATGAATTCAGTGCATTGTGTCAGCTCATTGTGAAATACCTTCTCAATGAATTCGCCTCTGTTTCGTTTCCAAGTTGTTCATATAGCAGCGCTGTTATTAACTGTAGGTCCAGCTTCACGTGTTTTAAATTTCGTTAGTCTATTCGCTTGGTTGTGCTTATTTTTCAGAAAAATGGCTTTAAAACGTTTAAAAAGTACATACATTTTATCATACACATAAAAAGCGGTATATAATATATATTTCTTTATAGCAAAAAAATCAAAACGCCAGACAGGACGGTTGAAGCACAAAATTGAGAAAAAAGTACGTGAACACAATAGAAAGATACGTCGCGAGGCTAAGAAGAATCCCAAAAAAGGCAGTAAAAAACAGAAGTTGATACAGATACCAAACATATGTCCATTTAAAGAAGATATACTTAAGGATGTGGAAGAGGCTAAGAAGCGTCAGGAAGAAGAACGACAAAAGCGACGTGAAGCCTATAAACAAGAGCGTGACCAAAACAAATTTAAAACATTGGAAGCACTTGCGGGCGATGCCGATATGCGTGGTAACGTGCACTCAGTTTTTCATGAAAACGATCAAATAGTTGATGAAGTAAGTGAAAACTTAAAACACGCTTTTTAATATATTTAACATAATTTTATTTCTATAGAAACAGTATAAAAGTGCTAGCACAAAGGAGCAATCTTTAAAGCAATATTTTAAGGAATTCAAAAAGGTGTTAGAAAATGCTGATGTTGTTTTGGAGGTGGTAGATGCTCGTGATCCACTTGGTACACGCTGTAATGAGGTAGAACGTGCTGTGCGTGCAGCAACAGGCAACAAACGCCTTGTGCTTGTTTTAAATAAAGCAGATTTAGTGCCTAAAGAAAATCTAAATAATTGGTTAAAATATTTCCGTCGTTTGGGACCTGTAACAGCTTTTAAAGCATCCACACAAGATCAGACCTCGAAATTGGGACGTCGAAAACTGCATCAGATGAAGACCGATAAAGCTATGCAAGGATCAGTTTGTGTTGGCGCTGAATTATTAATGTCTATGCTTGGAAATTATTGTAGAAATAAGGGTATCAAAACATCAATTCGTGTTGGTGTTGTAGGTATTCCAAATGTAGGCAAGAGTTCTATTATAAATTCATTAACACGCGGCAAAACTTGCTCCGTTGGCTGCACACCGGGTGTTACAAAGTAAGTTACGCCTGTTTCTTTCTAATTATATGCTTAATTATACTAATAAATTTATATATTTTTTATTAGGGCTATGCAAGAAGTTGAACTGGATTCAAAAATAAAACTTATAGATTGCCCGGGTATTGTGTTTGCAAACTCTTCCAAAACTGATATACCAGTCGTCCTCAAGAATGCTCAACGCGTTGGAGATGTTAAAGATCCTTTCACCATAGCAGAAAGTGTTTTGAAACGTGCTAGTAAAGAATATTTTTGCAAATTATATGATTTAACTGGCTACGACACCTTTGAGGAATTCTTCGCCAAAAAAGCTGCACGTATGGGTAAGTGATTGACTTCTTTATGTTGGTGTTGAGCCTTTTCCGAGTTAGTGCATCTCGGCACTTTTGCTCTTTGATAGCTGGGGGGGTTTCTGCAGAGTTCCACCTATCTCACTGAATAATTTGTATGTTCCTCATAAGCTTCGTCATTATTCAATGACTGATCAAAGAAAAGAAAATGATTGTTTGGGAACAAGTGTTGACTGAGGATGTATGGGAAAAAATAGGTTTATCATAGGAATTGCTTCGGGACTTACGTTCAATTGTTCTTAGTAGCCATAATCATCCTCCTAAAACATTCTTTAACCGTTTTTTTTAAGACTATGCTATTTCGTATCAATTTATGCTTAGCTTAATATTTAATAATATTTATAAATTAATTATATTTAATATTTATAAATTTAAATGATAACTCATGCAGTAGTGTCATCCTACTTCTTTTTTAATACAGTAGTGTCACACAAATGAGAACCACTTGGTATATACATTTTAGTTTGATAAGATTATTGCACCTTTTAACTTAAGCATCAAATAGGAATTCTGCTCTCTAACTTAATGTTTAGTATCCCTCAATTCATATTATACAACAACACAATAATACCAATATTTCTTTAAAGGTAAATTCTTGAAAAAAGGAGTACCGGACGTTGTAGCAGCTGCTCGTAGTGTTCTCAATGATTGGAATACAGGAAAAATAAAATATTGTACTCAACCACCAGAAATTCATAGTACAAATGATGTACACGTAAGCGCTTCAATAGTCCATGAAGAAGCCAGGGAATTTGATGTGGATAACTTTGAAGCTATGGAAACAGATATTCTTGATAATTGCGATGTTAAACTGGAAGATGTAATGGAAATTGCCACAGCGGGTCCTGTTGAATATAAACCGCCAATGGATGACGATGACGACGATGATGATGATGATGGTGAAAAAGTCGAAGACACGCAAAAAACCATTATTGATGAAAAGGAACTACCAAATAAAAGCAGAAAGAGAAAGATGGATGAAAGTGAAAAAAAAGAAAAACCTGATCCAGCTATGAGCTTAAAAGGTAATAGCTTACAATTTAAAAATTTTGCTTTTAATATTAAAGAGTATATTTTCTAGGTAATCAAACTATCAACAAAAATATCAAACAGAATTTGAAAAAGAAGAAGAAACAAAATGTGCGTAATGAGAAAAAGGTTTCACATATATCCGACGTCCTGGATAACTTCAGCCTAAACACTGCGCATGATAATGACGATAAATATGATTTTGATGAAGACTACGTCATAGAGTAGTAAATTTGGGTTTCGTCTTCATTATAGCTGTAAATTGTTGATAGAATTAATAAATTTAAGTTTAATCAAAAATTATATTTGTTTATAAATTTTTAAAACACAATAATTTATTGTAGAAATCATAAATAAAGCATATATTTTTTAAACGTCATAATATTTTTTAAATAAAAAAGAAATTTTGTTAGTTATAATATCCTTACGATGAGTTATGGATGCTGTCGTTCATTTTGCCGCAAGTGTTGTGTTCCATGTTACTGTATCTTGTGGGGACGCGATGAAAAAACTTGGCTTTGTACTCGCTATATCAGTGGCTTTCTTATAGCCTTACTTATATCAACGGTCTTCTGGTATTATACGATAGCGAATTTGTGTGTATCATGGGAACTCAATTTCATACTACTTGCCGTATGCATTACTTTTACAGGTGAGTAGCACAAAACGAGGTTTACTTGGCAATAAATGCTTTACAAATGATTTTTCAGTTTTTGGTTTCATATTTAATAAAGGCATACGTTGCATTCTATTTCTGTTGGTTATAAGCATATTTGGGAGCTCTGGTCGGACGTACTTACGCGCACTATGTTTCGCAACTGTTTTATCAGGTAATAGAAAGGGTTTAAAATGCAATAATCCCGTTTATATAAAACACTCTAACAGGTCCTATTGAAAATTTAAGTTTAAATGGTGGAGAAATAGTACGGGTGTACACTTGTGCCAATATACTGACTTATAATTTGACGAAAACTCGTCTGGATTTGATAACGAAACCCTTTCAAAGGGTTTTATATAATATTCGAGAAGATGCTGCAGAAATAAATAAAACATTTGGTGAAGTGCGGGAGTTCATGTATCCCGTGCACAATGAAATAGAGAGCGATGATGAAACTTGGGTACCAAATGAAAATGATACTTACAAACCGATAGAGATTCCTGAAAACACTTCCAAAGCAGAATTCATACAAGATAGATATACAAATAAATTTCGAAAACGTTGCTATCATCAAATGGGGAAGAGTAAGGATCGCTGCCAAATGGCGTTTAGGGAAGCATTGTTGAAGTGTGAGGAAAAAATCCCTTTTTTAGTGAGAACGCTACTTTGTTGGCCTTTTAAAGTGGACTTCGTTTGTAATATAAATATATTTTCCAGTCTTGAGACGGTATGCGATCCTACTGATGCCATACCCAGAGATTTTGGTAAAAATTATGTAGTGTTAAATGAAACGGAAAATGAACTCTTTAATAATAGTAAAATGGAAGTTAACTACACTATTCATTACAATGAAATACCGCCAGGTTTTAAGTAAGTTTTATAGACTATAACATATTACATATAGACTGTAACATAATTATGTTACTTCATAATCTTCACTTCAATAATTTAAATATAACTAAGAGAAAAATATTCTTTTATCACTATATATATCAAACATTATTATTAATGAAAATTAAGTATAGAATACTGTATAGATACTTTCATTTAGGTGGTCTATTGTTCATTTGTTTTACTCGATCAATAAGCTTTTAATGAACTTATGCATGTTTGACGGTTTTTTATTGTTCCATATGTTATAAGTAGCAACCAGTCTGTTCCTCAGATGGATAAGTGTGCTGCTACCCAGTTTATGGCATTCACAGAGAATATGCAATGACGCTTCAACATTCATTTCACAAAAGAAGCAAATACTGATCTCTAAAAAGCTCATTTTGTTAAGATAGTAGGTACTTCAGTTTCTTCTCAAACTTCTCAGTCTCAATACATCTGAATTCGGATTAATCGTTGGTTTTCTAACTACCATCCTTCAAAGATGGGACGGAACTTATCATTTAACAAGCAGGTTCCATCCCCAGTTAATATTCTCAGATCATCTGTGTAAATTAGATCATACAGTTTGCTTCAAAGAACAGAATTGGTAAGACATATCTTCTACATACATCTATGTTTAGTAATAGTTGAAGACCCTTCATCGAGAGTAGAAGAAAAGCTTTAAAAAAATTATGCACTTTTGTTTTTATATACTTTTATCCACAGTTATTTTAAAAGAAAGGTTTTTTCCAGTAAACATTATAAATCGATCTTGCATCTCATTTGAGTTTTATCTATCGTTTTATTGGATCTGTCGATATTAAAGTACTTCAAAGAACACATACATACTATAAAGATCATATGAATAATTATCTAACTTTTGGTTTTCTAATTTTAGTACCGCAGATGAAATGGGAGAAAAAATTTATAAAGAATATACGAGAAAGAAACAGATATTTTCTACAATTATAGCTGTGCAAGAGAAACTATTACTGTACTTCTTTATTGTTTTAGTTATAGGTAATCAGACCATTGTAATTCTGATATTTCCAATATTAATATTTTTTATCGCAGGATCCATTAAATATCGTAAAAAATTTTTGAATGATATTGACTCTGATAATATATACATAAATGATTATTTTTTGCATATTGACGAGCGAAGAAGAAAACTGGGTAAACGAACTATTTTACCATTAAAAAAAGTAAGAGAGAAAAAGTTTCTTTAAAACCTATTGTGGCTCTGTGACTCACGTGTATAATATATAATTCACACATTTTCAGAGAGAGAGAAATAAATTGGTCGATACTAACAATATCTGCAATCGTACAAAAGAAGAAAAAAAATCGGCTAAATACCATATTTTACGCCTTTCCGTTGAAATAATCATAGGATTATTTTTCATCTTGTTAGATTACATTATCGTGGTTCTATTGAAAATAGTTCGAATGGAATCCGAAACTACCTATACACAGGAAGGAGAACACACAATAACGTTCAGTGTAAGACCTTTTGACAATTATTTACTAAGTATACATCGAAATGAATAAACATTTTTAGATTGAGGGTACTGGTCTCATGGCACGTTTATTGCAGAAAACGATGCGTAATTTTAATATACATGAGCGAGTACGAACACAGCTTTCGAACAAAGAATGTCTACCTCTTCCGAATCAGCTGGATGACAGGTAATTTTTGTTCTTATCGATGGTTTTAAACTCTTTCTATACTCTATTTTCACAGCTTTTACATGAAAATGGGAATTTTGTATTCGTCCATTATTATTTTAACAAGCAAAAGTACGGCTATTCTAAGACTACGTCACATGATTTGTGCTTATTTCTATCGCAAGCGAGAGAAGCAACGTACTCTCTATTTGTATAATTCGTTACTAAGAGAACGACGAAACCAATTTAAAAAGATGCTTAGAGAGGCCCAAAACAATGCGGCTAAAAATGAGCTACGTAACAAATTGAATATATTCCTGGTAAATATACCCTTTAATAATAAAATAATTCAACTTAGATGACTTATGTCTTTTGGTATAGAAATTACGTGCTGCTTATCCAAATAGTTTTAAGTTCTTGAAGAATTGTCAATATGCACGTTTCAAGTGCCTAATTTGTGAAGAACGTGAAGGTACTTATATAAGCTACTTCTGTTCTACATATCTAAAAACAAAGATTTTTTAATATTCCACAGATGATCTCTTCGTATTCTGTCCTAATACCAAATGTAACGTCACGTATTGTCGCGACTGCTGGGAAGACATGCCCGATTTTTGCTTACTTTGCAGAGAAAGAATTAAAGAGACGAAAATTAATAATTTTGATCAGTTCTTTGAAGAGGTTAATATGTACGATATGTTTTATGAGCCATATGTGCTTGGAACCGATAAATCGGAGCCGGAAACAGATAAGGATGAAAAAGAAAAAGGAAAGAATGTTGGCATAGTTTCAAAATTAAAGAACTTATGTCGTAAAAGTCAAAAGAAATCTAAAGATGATAAAATAGATAAAAAGGACAAAGTAAATACTTCACCTGAAAATAAAAAATCTGGCAAAAAGAAAAAAGTAGATTCTAAATCAAAAGATAATAAAACTGATGAAAAAAATAAACCCAATACTATAAACAAAGATGACAAAACTCTTTTTGCAAAGAGCAGAATAGATCCTATATTGAAAGACGATAAGACTGAAAAACAGAGCAAGGTGGATCCTTCACCAAAACTGGAAGACAAAAAACACAAAACTGAAACTGTTGAAGACACACAGCAAAAAACCGTTGGCAAAAGCGCGTTATCCACCTTTAAGGTAGATAAACAAAATTATAGTTCCATTTACGATGCAGATGATGAATATGACGATACAGATACCGAATCTGATTTCGGTTAAAAAGAACTGACAATACTTAGACAGCATTTTAGATATTTAACTACTTTCGAGAAGTCCACAAACGAATATTTTTATTAAACGTTTTTAAAAATGTTTAATTTATATTGTTGAAATATTTTTTTTAAATTGGATTTTTTTATTTATATTTTTGATGTACTTTAACTACTCCCACTTTTTCAAAATAAATAAATAAGCTCAATATCCAGCGTTCTTTTTTTGAGTTTTTAATATACTCATATTTGTATAATAAACAGGATTTCTGAGAATATAAAACTCAGTATTAGAAAACTAGTTACTGCTTCGGCAGAACATATACTAAAATTGGAACGATACAGAGAAGATTAGCATGGCCTAAAATGGATCTCAGCCGAGAGAGGTCGCTACTGGAGTGACAATCGAGGTAACCGTCAGGCAAAACAGCTGGTTCATCCATATAGTTATGGCAAGGCATCCCTCCTCAGCAGATCAGATTTGAGGTTGCTGGTGGGATATTTAACGGGTCACCATGGACTGCGTTATCACATTAACAAAATAGGTCTGTCCGAAGAGATGGAGTGTCGACTCTGCTTAGAAGCAGACGAGACTACGAGTCACATTCTCTGTGACTGCCCAGCCTTGATCTGGGCAAGGAGGAAATCACTGGGAGGAGAGCTGCTCTCTCCTTCTGACATTAGGAGGTCCTCAACGGACGACATTCTGGCCTTCATTCGGAAAGCGGAATGTCTTCTGTTCAATTAGGGTCAGTTACGGCACAAAAGATCAATCTGGTCGCAGTGCTCTGCTCCAGTGGGAGCTAGTACCCTGTTTATTTCTATTCTATTCTATTCTATTAGAAAACTATATAGTATTAAGTCAGCATAACTAATATTCAAATG